TTATGACTGGTGCATGGTTAGAAGAAAAATTATTGGAGGAATTGGGAAGAATTTTTACCTCTTCTATTTATCAGAGTAACGTTTTCTTCTAAGAAAAAAAAAGTTTCTGTGATAACAAAAATAAAAAAGGTGGGCCCGGAAAATATCAGAGGATAAATATTTCTTCTGAAGTGTTCACCAGTCAGACCCCATATGTAATATCTTGGAACAAAATTTGTAAGAATTTATTTAATGAATTTACCTTCTTTGACGACAAAAAAAAAAAGAAAAGAACATTGTAAGTTTATAACTTCACACGTAAAGAAAAAGACGCATTAAATCCTTCTTATCTTAGGGTTCAACCAAGTCGCACGTACCTTAGTGATGGCTTTAGTTGGAACCACACTAAATCCGGGAATTACACTGTAAAATCCGGTTATTGGGCCGCGAGAGTTTTATCTCGTCCTACTTGTGACCTCCCTTTTCAGGGACCGGGTGTTTCGACACTACATGCACAAGTATGGAAGCTTAAAACTACGTGGAAGCTTATGCATTTCGCGTGGCAATGTATCTCGGGATGTCTAGCCACATCCCAAAGACTTGTAAACCGTCATATTGGTACAGACAAAGGTTGTCCTCGATGTGGCGGTGCAGAAGAATCTATTAATCATCTACTTTTTGAATGCCCGCCCTCTAGGCAGGTTTGGGCTTTATCCCCTATTCCCTCTGCGGGACATCTTTTCCCTCGAAATTCCCTTTTCTATAACTTTGACTTCCTCTTGTGGCGTGGCCGGGAATTTGGAATTGAAGCGGATGTGCTAGAACTCTTTCCATGGATACTTTGGTATATATGGAAAAGCCGTAATAGATTTGTATTCGAAAACATTAGGGAGCCTCCCCTCGAGATTCTAAATTTGGCCTTAAAAGAAGCATCAGTCTGGAAACAAGCCTTTTTGAATGGTATGTCAAATACCGAGGCTCTTGATCGCACGCTTCTGAACCTCTCCCCTCATCCTCAGACATCGGAATGTCAGGTGGATGCCTCATGGCACTTAGAGGATACTTTAAGCGGACATGGATGGGTATTAGTTGATCAAGATCGGATCCTTCATCTCGGTCTCAAGAGTTCGAGAAGAAGTCTTTCACCGCTCCATGCGGAAGTGGATTCTTTGTTGTGGGCAATGGAATGTTTGATCTCGCTAGGAGTCACCTCTGGCTCCTTCGCAACAGATTGCTCCGACATGATATCACTTCTCGATAATCAAGAAGAATGGCCAACTTTTGCAGCAGAATTGGTCTCTTTCCGGTCTCTTCGTTGTTTTTTCCCTTCTTTTAGTATTCGTTTTCTTCCTCGTAGTTTTAATACTCGAGCTGACTGTTTAGCGAAAAAAGCTCGGGCTCGGAAGAGTCTCTTTTCCCATGTAAGCAACTCGGTTCCTGAATGGCTCTTTCCAGCAGAGAGTCTATCTTTCCGATAACTTAATATAAATGGTGTTTGATGAAAAAAAAAATAAAACAACAAAAAAAAAATTTAAGAAAACAAAAATTGGAACATTTTATAATTTAAGTCGAAGGCTAATGATTTGGATAGGCCGGGGATGAGGCACATAAACAAAAATGGGGTATTTCTTTGGATGGCTTTTATTTTAAAATGAGACATATTAATATGAAAATCAATCAATAACTTTTTTAAATAGAGAGAAAACGGTATGGTTGTGTTTGTGTATCCTCTATAATCAAATTTGCAGCAAGCACGTGAAAACCAGCAGAGACAGTCCAAATCTTTTTTTTTTTTCACAAAAAGTGGTACCATTTTATATCATCAGATGTTGCAAGATACAACTGTGGAAACTTCCACTTACAAACCAACTTAAACCTTGTAAGCTTACAATGGATTTACAAAAAAACAAAGGATCCATTGACAAGAGATAGAACATTTTCATCAAGTCAAGTTTCCATCTTAGTATGAAGCTTAAACATCCTTCCTTCATAAGCTTCAGAAGATATGGTCTTTCCAAAAGGTACTTCTAAGATCATATCCTTTTATTCAAACCCTTAAGCTGCCTTAAAACCTTACGCAGCCTCGCCAAAAAGTGTTGACAGAATCAGTAGAGTGTTTCATCGTTTTTTTGGAGGCTTCAGAATTCCTCCTTGATTAAGCTCAGATCCTTTTTGCTTCTGGTTCATGTTTTCTTCCTCTTGATTATCAGAAAGTGTCTTTTTACGCTTTGAATAGTCAAACCTCTCTGATGGTTCACCATTTTCTGTTCTCCTTGAAGATTCACCTGTTTCAAACCTCCTTGGATCTCTTGGCATCATCTCCTGAACTGTAGCGGAATTAGAGTTAGAGCTTGAAGCTGATTGTTGTCTTCTTACCGCAATCTGGGGGGTTGGAACAGCAAAGTGTTGGAGATTAGCAATCCTTGAGGAGGACAGATACCTTCTTGCATCAACAGTTTCTTCAGGATTCAATGGTGGAGTAGCCACTCTTGGAGGAGTTGATCTTGGTGCAGGAAAGGAGTAGTCTGAATTCTGAGATTGAGAGTTCATGTTAGACCTCTGAAGATTATCCTGAAGAAATCTTCTCTCTCTACCCGCAAATGTATGATCCAAATCATCACTTCTTCCTCCATCAATAAGCTGACCATAAGGACATTGATTTCTTTGATGATTAAACCTCAGACAGTTGGTACATATTCTTCTGAGACGTTCATATTGGAAACGGATCACAACTGTCTCACCTGCATCAAAGCGTATTCTTTGAAAGAACCTTAACCTATCCGATATTCCAAACCTAACTCTAACCCGAATATAGGCTATCTGAATGGAAGTGGTCTCATTAAAGTCCACTTGGATTATCTCCCCAAGATCTTGAGCTATTTCTGACACTGTTTCAACACTAACATAGTGCAAAGGGATTCCTCTAATCTGAACCCAGAGATCTATTGTTGTCAGAAAATTTAACCCAGGGAAATCCACCAGGGTTCTCTTCTTTGAACTGCTATAAACCAATTATTAAACAACCAGGGTTCTCTTCTTTGAACTGAAACAAGATCCAATTCAGATTGAAACAAGAACTGAACATACGTACCATCAAGAACTCTGCCTTGAACAGTTGTTGTTAAGCCCCAAGTTCTTGGTAGAGAAGAGATTACCGTAAAAAGGTTTTGAGATCTTGGATTCAGAGGTCTAGCAATTAGACTTAGCCTATTACGAGCTTCTGTAGCTGCGTATGCTTCGTGTGGAATAAACAACTCCGGGTCATTTCTTCCCAAATCAAAGTGCTGAAGGTTATTCCACAATTCATCTGCCATGACTCGACAAGGTAAAAAGCTAAAAGGAAGTGTGGTAATAAAAGACTCAAAACTAAACTATTTATAGAAAAGAAAGGACTAACAAAAGGACTAAATAAAAAGAAAACTTCACCGCTAGAAAAAGATGTAAATAAAAGAAGATAAAAGATAAGACTCAATTCTTAAAAAGAGAGAAACCAAAAAAAGAGAAGATTAGGAGAAACTAAAAAACAAACCAGAAGACAACAAAAAAGCGATGAAGATAGACTTCCTAAAAGATAACATAAAATATAAAACACAAGCTTCAAATAAGCCAGAACCCTAAAGACAAAAAAACTTGTTTTATTACCACAAACCTCCACACTAAGTTACCTTTTCTGAAGTCAAAAAGTCTTTCAACCAACGAGGAGCTCCTCTCGCCACATAAGATTGAAACCTGGAACCACAAATCACACTTCTTGCTATTTGAAAAGCTCCATGATTAGAATGTGAATGCTCCTTTTCCATGAACCAGCCAGTTTTTGTTAGGATTTAAGAGACTAAGCTCATAAGAAAGAGTAAACAATCACTTGGTGATTGAATCTCCTTTTACCCACATAAAGGGAACTCGTTCTAAAGAGGAAGAGACCATCAACTTGTGATGGAATCCACACAAATAACCAACAATATCTCCGAATATACTATGTAGTAAATCGGTTATATGAAGGAGAAAAGCTCTAGTTTGAGACTAATCCTTGTCTAGTAACACAACAGTAGAGTTTGTGTACTTAAGAGAAAGAGGATTTGAGAATCAGTAATCTAGAGTCTAAGGACTAAATAAAGAAGAGTTTAGACTATATTTAAGAGTAAGATTAACAAGAAATGGGCTGCCCTAAGGCAGACCTAAACGGTTTAACTTTAACTCTCTACATTGTTAACTTTAAGTTAAACACAAGTAAAGTAGATTAAGCTAAAACGTTTTGTATCAAGACTTGTCTTTTCTTATTGATCTCTTCTTCTTAATGTGTTTTCTTTTACAAAGAGGCTACAAGTCTTTATATAGAAAGAGAACTAGGTTAAGATGTCTCACAAACCCTTTTAATCCTAGCCATTCTTTTCTCTCTTTAAATCTACACCATTGAATTCAAAATAGCTTCTAGAAGGTTGTGGTCCACTTTTGTCTTCTAGTGAAATTGGCTCCAACTTTGACCAAGTTTGAATTTGAGTCTCCTTCCTTTGTCTCAAGCTTAGGACCACTTGTTACTCTTCTCCAACGGCTCCATGAGAGACTTTGTGCTTCTTAGGTCTTCTAGAAGGTCTCTCATGGGCTTCTCTTATGTGACACCAATCTTGCACATTATTATCTTCTTCACTTAGTGACACCAATCTTGCACATAGATTATCTTCACTAGGTGACACGAGTTTTGCACATTCTTGTATTCATGGATAGACTTCATTTTGCATCCTCGGTCTTGATACTTTTGACACCAATTATGCACATTAGGTCATGATAACATTGACACTAATTTTGCACATTGGGTCTTGATAACTTTGACACCAATTTTGCACATTGGTGTCTCGTCTTCGGCCTTGTCTTGAGATCTTCGGCCTTGACTCGTCTTATGAGTTTACACCAATTTTGCACTTCGGTGTCTCGGTGACTTCACACCAATTTTGCACTTCCGGTCTTGATACCTTGAAGTGACTCGAGCTTTGCACGGCTATCTTATGGAGATCTTCGGCCTTGTCTTCATGACTTCGGCCTCGACTCCCTTCTACTTCTTCTTCTCTTTCTTGGAGATGGCTCGGCCTCTTTGGCCTCTCTCTCCTTTTCTTCATACACTCTAATAGTTTTATCCTTTGTAAAACTCAGAAGTTCAGCAATATGTCCTTTTATTGCTGGCCAGTCTTTAGGCTTATTCAAAGCTTTCATAATTTCCAGAGAAGAAGTTCCAAAGATAATCTTATCAAAATGCAATTGCTGCATACTACTTAAAGCCCAATGCCAACTCTGAACTTTAGCCTCAAAAAGTGATTGTACCTGAGAATAAGCTCTACGACTATGTAAGAGTACCTCTCCTGTTGAATCTCTTAATAACCAAGATGCTCCAGAGCTTTGAGTTTTTTTTGACCATGCAAAACCAATATTGCATTTAACTTCTCCTCGCTGTGGTGGCTTCCACTTCAAATTTTGTGGCTCTCTATCAATCCTTGAAGAAATTCCTCTTTGCTGTGATTGACACCATTGAGAGCAATCATCAAAAGCTTTGTCCACAATACATTTTATCATTGAACCAAATCCTTCAAATAAGAGTTTATTCCTATTTTTCCATAATACCCAAAGTATCCAAGGACTCATTGTTCTTAATTGAGGAGAAAGATCTTTCAGCTGGTCCATATGTAAAATATGACTCAAGTTTGCAAAAACAGACTGTCCAAAACCATTCCTTGTAGATGGTATAAGAGCTACAGCCCATACCTGTCTAGCCAAAGGACATTGAAATAGAATGTGATTGATTGTTTCATTTTCTTCTCCACACATCAAACACCCATCCTCAATCTGAATTCCTCTTGTTCTAAGTCTATCTTCCACAGCCAAAGCTCCTTTCAAAATCTTCCAAAGGAAAACTTTAATCTTTGGTTCAGTATGCAACCTCCAAATTTTGATGTAAAGAGGATTCAAAGAGGGATTCTCTTCTGCTTCCTGAAAAAGCTTCTGATGAGACTTTTTACTGCTAATCACATAACCAGATTTGACTGAATACAACCCATCATTCGTATACGCCCAACACAGAGAATCTTCAATAGAACATAAAGGCCTTTGCTTGAGAATCAGTTGTACATCCTTCCATGGAAAAAGATCTCTAAGCATATTCAGATTCCAATACTTAGAAACCGGATCAATCAAAGAGCTAACCTTAAGCTCAATATCAATCAAAAGTTGCCTATTCATTGGTCTTCTGTTTTTTTGTTTATCAAACAACCATTTGTCAATCCAAACATTAGTTCTTTCACCATTCCCTATAACCTTTTTTAAACCTTCTTGAAGAAGATCTCTTCCAAATAAAATACTTCTCCATGCATATGAAGGTCTTGTACCTTTTGTAGCATTGATGAAGTCAGAGTTTAGAAAATACCTGTTTTTAAAGACTTTGAAGAAAAGGCTATTTTCATCATGAAGAAGTCTCCAGGCTTGCTTTGCTAATAAGGCTTGATTGAAGCATTGAAGATCTTTAAAACCAATTCCTCCTAGATCCTTAGGTAATGTTAACTTCTGCCAAGCCACCCAATGAATCTTCTTTGAGCTTTGAACATTATTCCACCAGAAATCCATCATGACACTAGTCAAATTCTGACAAAGTGTTTTAGGTAACTTGAAACAAGTCATGGCATACATTGGTAATGCCATTGCTATTGATTTTAAAAGAATTTCCTTTCCACCCTGTGACAAGGCTTTTGCATACCAACCTGTCATCCTAGCCTGCAGCTTCTCTTTGATAAATCCAAACAACTCTTTTTTGGAGCCACTTAAACATTCTGGTAAACCCAAATACTTGGTTGTTCCTCCTTCTGTTAAAATCCATGTTCTGATTTTGATCCAATTTCTCAATTCTTCTTCTACTTTGGTCCCAAAAGTAATTGCAGATTTCTCCAAATTGATCTCTTGACCTGAAATTTCTTTGTAAGAGGATAAACATTTCATGATCTCTTCACATTCATCCTTCTTGGCTTTGCAAATAATGAGAGTATCATCTGCAAATAGTAAGTGATTCACTAAACTTCCCGCATTGAAAAACTGGATGCCAGAAATTTTCCTTTCCCTTTCAGCCTGATTAAGGATATGGATGAGAGCCTCTGTACATAAAACAAACAAAAAGGGTGATAGAGGATCACCCTGTCTGATTCCTCTGCCTGGTTTTATGTTTCCAAAGGGTTGCCCATTGATCAAAACAGAAAATGAAACAGTTGAGACAAACTCCATAATCCAAGCAATCCATTTGTTATGAAACCCAATAGAAGTTAGAATTCCTTCTAGGAAGGACCACTCTACTCTATCATATGCTTTTGACATATCTGTTTTAATCACCATAAACTCTTTGGATAAATTCTTATTCGTTTTAATGTTATGCAAAATCTCATGAGCTATTAGAATATTATCCGAGACTAACCTTTCACTCACAAAGGCCGATTGTGTCGGTGAAATAATCTCTGGTAAATGCTTTTTCAAGCGTGCTCCCAAAATCTTAGAGACTATCTTGTATAACACTGAACATAGACTGATTGGTCTAACATCCGCCATCCTCTGTGGATTAGTGATTTTTGGAATCAAGCAAAGATGAGTATGGTTCCAATCTTCTGGTAGAGTATCATGATGAAAGAATCCCATTACTTCTTTTATAATTTGTGATTTTACTACAGTCCAATTCTTCTGAAAGAATAAAGCAGTAAAACCATCTGGCCCTGGAGAACTTTCACTATTGATTGAAAACAGTGCCTCATAAATCTCCTTTTCTGTAACCTCTTGTATCAGCTCCTGATTCATTTCTGAAGTCACTCTTGCATGAAATCCTGAAAGAACACTAGTCAAAGAAATTGGAGATGAAGAAGTGAATAACTTTTCAAAGAATTCCGCAGCTATCTTTCCTTTTTCCTTATTCAACGTCTGTTCTTGACCTTTCTCATCCAGAAGAAAACTAAGAGAATTTTTAACTCTATTAGCTCTTACAGCAGCCTGAAAAAACTTAGTATTCTTGTCACCTTCATCCATCCATTTCTCTCTACTTTTTTGTCTCCAAAAAGATTCTTCTTCATCATAAGCTAAACCCAACTGATCTTTAATAATAGCAATTCTGGGCCAATTTGGAGATTCTGCACTTTTCTGAAGATCTAATTCAAATCTTAGCCTTTTGATTTTGCTTCCAGCATTCAAATCACACGATTTTGACCAGGCAGAAATTGCTTTTCGACATTCAGTGATACTGAATATAGAGGAGCTCACCTCTTTAGAAACATCACTATTCCAAACCTGATTAATGATAGTAGAACAGATGGGATTATCTGCTAGTCTCTTATCAAATCTAAACTGCCCTCTGAAAACTTCTTGATCATTGATAAATTTTACCAAAACTGGTCTATGATCTGATCCAAACTTTTCCAGAAACCACTGATGGGAATTAGGAAACATAACAGACCAGGCAGGATTCCCGAAACATCTATCTAATTTGCATTGAACCCAATAGTCATTCCTTGTTCCTCCCCATGTAAACCCATTACCTGAGCTTCCTATTTCAGTCATATCACAATTCTTCACCATCTCTTGAAAGAACTGAAAGGAAGAAACTATTCTTCTAGGACCACCTAATTTTTCCTTATTAGAAAGGATTTCATTGAAGTCCCCTATCATACACCAAGCTTCTTTCCTATGAAAACCAATACCTGATAGAGTTTCCCATAAAAAAGGTCTCAGGTTTATCACAGGATTCCCATACACACAAGACAAAAACCAACTCTTATTCCTTTGAGACACCTTCAAATCCAAGAGATTTTTGTCTGCAAAAAGTATTTCAATATCCAGATGATTTTTCCAAAATAAAGCTAAACCCCCACTCTTTCCTTCTGGTTCCACTGTATAAACATGCTCATAACCCAACCAAGAGAAAACTTTTTCTATAAACACATCAGAGTTCATCGTCTCCATGAGGAATAAAATGTCTGGGAAATGATCCTTTTTCATTTCTCTAAGATGACGAATTGTCCAAGGATTCCTCAGACCTTGGCAATTCCAACTTAAAACGCCTTATTGAAATTGCGGCAGTTCCTGAGGAACCACCGTCTTATTATCTCTTTTGATCACCTTTGAAACTTCTGTATCTGGAAATTGAGCTTTCCTTTTGAAAACTCTATCAAACTTCTCTTTAGAATCAAAATTACTAACCTTTTCCTTCATCAGAAGTTCTTTTGCAGATTTTGAATTCCTTTGCCATGAAGTCTTCACTTTATTTGCAGCATCTTTTTTATTTCCATTCGCAGAAGAGCTGGCTTCACAGCTTCCTGTTTTGAAACCAACAAAAAGTTCCAAGTCTGACAGATCCTCTTCAAAGTTTTCCTCTAAAGAATTAGAGATAACCTTTGAATCTCCATACTTCTTCATCGCATCTGCCATAAACTTTATAGGACTCGGTGTTGACAATTGCATATGGAAGTCTTTGTTAATGACCTCTTTTTCTTTTAATTTCTCCTCAGAAACCACAGAGGAAACTTTTGGAGACGTACTCAGCTTAAAGGGACATCTTGTCTTGTCATGGGATAGTCTTTGACAATTAAAACACCTTTTGCGAACCCTTTCATAATCAAAAGAGATGATTACGATTTCTCCTGTCGGCAGTTGAACTTCCTTCGAATTGCGAAGAGGATTAGAAACATTTAGCAGCACTTGAACTCTAACATAATCTTGAACCTGAGATTTTTCTAGATCAAGGCCAACTTGAAGCACTTTACCAACACACGCTGCTATATCCTCTATTGTGTCTTTGGTATAATAATTCACCGGAAGATTACGCAGTCTAACCCATATCGGAAGAAACATCAAGTAATCCGGTGGAGGGTTCTCCAACCATTTTTCCATCACAACACACCAATCATCCTGAGTCCAAACTCCTATCTTCAGAATTCCATCTAGATCCTCTTCTGATTTAAATATAAATTGAAATCTATCTTTAGACAAGGCCACTCCTCGAACACGATTATATAATCTCCAGATTCTTGGCATGTCTAATATCCAATTAGACATTCTTTGAGCTTCCGGATTCAGGAATCGTCCCATAATACTACAGCTATTCCTTTCGCTAGAACAATACTTTGGCAAATTAGACAGAACTAGCGGTTTATCATCCGAAATCGACATATCTTGAATAGCTTTATCCAGATCCATTGAGCTGTTGTAGATCACCAGATAACACTTACAGAGTAGGCAGAGAAAACTTCAAAATTGGAACAAAATTCCAATTCTTCAGAGAAAGCAATTAGATTCAACCTCCTTGAGACACTTTCAGAAACTGAGGATTTCACGAAACAAAGTAACACTGAAGCCGACAGAAAACGTTTATATCTTCGGATAGTAGTTCCGCTCAATTAGAGACTGAATTCTTCTTGAGGGAAAAGTTCTTAAGCCCAAACAGTTGGGACGGCTATTGATTTAACGGCGACAAAGAACTCACGAGGGAGCTGCTATGAAAGAGAAGAGAGGATTTATATGACTAGCAGACAGTCCAAATCTAGACCCGAGGAAACAAACATTACTGATTCCGATAATGTCTTTTGGATTTTCTAGAGTTCAGTATATTATTTTTTAAAAAAGTTATTTCATATAGTTTGCATATTACAATTATTAATTAGGGTTATTTTAATTAAAAACCCCAAACGATTGAGAAATAAAAAAACTAACCTTCTTTATTTGTTTATTAGTTCTCTCTCCTCCAACTTAATTAATGCTCAAATGATCCTTGATTATGTATGCGCGCTAACAGAAAAAATATCGAGGTAAGAAAATTAAAACTAACATAAAAATAAATACTATTCATCTATCATCGGGAACACTATTCACCATCAGAATCAATTAAAAAAAAATTGTGGTTATTTATTTGATTAGTACTGTAAATCAAAGTTTATCGCGATAAATTTATATGTTATGTGGTAAACTCATAGTTATCGCGTTAAATCAGTAATTAGATGATTAATATCAACTAACTTATATCTTAACTTGTTTATTTAATATAATAATTTATTTATTACTGTTAACTTATACATTATCATATTTATTTATCATAATAATTTAATTGATAAACATTGATTTTGCGATTATTTAGTTTGTTTACCGTGTAAATCTTATTATATCGTACTAATTTTTAGTAAAAACTTTGTTCTGCTAACATCGAAAACACTATTCATCACCATAGGCAATAACAAGATTGTATTCTTCGTGATTCTTTATTTGATTAACAATATAAAGCACAATGTATCACGATAAATTAGCAATTATGTGGTAAAATTATATTTATCGTATTAAATTATTTATTATATGATTGGTATCAGCTAACTTATTTATTAACCTCTTTATTTACTTTGATAATTTATTTACTATCGTTAACTTATACTTTATCATATTTATTTATCATGATAATTTAAGTGTTAATGGTTAACTTTTATGTTATCTAAATGTCGTGAACAAAAAAAATATCTTCTTCTCTTCTTAAGTTTTCTCCTCCGTCGTCACTTTTCTCAAATTTTCTTCTTCTTCCGTTGTCACCTGCAACTCGAACTCCCAATTTCACCTTGTCACCTTTTCTTCTTCTCCTTTTCCCACTTCTTTCTCTCATTTCTTTCCATCTTCACCCTAAATTACAAAACCATAATTTTCATCCCTAAATTTTTAATTTAAAATTTAGTTCCTCCCAAACTCATTTAGACATTATTTTTTCTTTTCCATGTATCTGTTTGTGAAGAAATGAAGGTAAGGGCGAAAAAATAGGAGAATTTGGAAGAGAGACGGTGATCGGAGATAACACCGGAAAATCACCGGAAACAATGTCGAAGAAATCTCATAGAAGAAGAAAGGAGAAGACAAATAGTTATATGTGTAAAAGAAAAAGGACAAAAATGTATAAACACCATTCTCTCTCTTAGCTACCTAATTAAACAAAAAACGTAGTTAGATACTTAATTATATAGTCTTCTATGGTCATGTCTTATAGATACTCTATTAATTATACGTTTCGTAACTTAGCTACTAAATCTAAAAATAAAATAGGTTACTATGTTTAGGTAATACTCTCTCTGTTTCGTTTTAGTTGTCGTTTAATGTTTTCTCACACAAATTAAGAAACGCATTAAATTTTCTGTTTTACCCTTTATTAATATATTTTATAAAAAAATTCATTGGCCGAAACATTAAAACTGTATGGATAAAACTGGAATTTTCACCAAACATTTACATCGAAAACCTAAAACGACAACTATTATGAAACAAAATTTTAACGCTAAAACGACAAGTAAAACGAAACGGAGGGAGTATTAAACTTGGCGGGTAGTGTGGTTGCGAAATCTAACTAAATGGAGTTAAACAAGAAAAAGGCAATCAAAGAACATAACATTTACATAATTTCAACTGCGATAACAGCGGATAGAAGAAAGTATAAAAATCTACATATACCTATCAAACTTATTTGTAAATCGAAATAAGAATAATTTTTCAATCCCACAAAATAACAAATAAAATACTTATTAAAACATTTTCTTATCACAAGAAAATTGACTCAATTCTCATAATACTAGGCATCTAGGTTTCTTAATTTCTTCCCCAAGTATGTGAGATA